CAAACATGCTGAGCATTAGAAAAGAAAAGCAAGGACTGACGGAAATCTTTGGAAATGTAATTTAAAATCCAAGAAAGTACCAAGTTATTAGCACGGATCCAAGCAATATGGTCAATAGGATGAGTAGCAGGGTTAGGGGTTACCAGCGAGCCATCAATGAAGGCAACCTTGTTTTTAACACTGAGAGCCATGAGGACGGCCAGAGACCAGGCGACGAAGTTATCACCGGTGAACAGATCTGCAATAATGACTGCGCCCGGACTGTCACTCGCATGCAGGAAGTATGGTGAAGCCGGATCGTCTGAGGGATGACTCATATCGCACAGATCGAGAATAAAATTGACGATTGGAACAAATAAAAGGTAATCTGAACAAATCTGGACAATAGTGAACAGATCGGGACAGATTAAGATAGATTAAGGCAAATCGACAGAAAAATCGCGAAAAATCGCAGAAAAATGGGATAAAAAAATGAACAGCAGCGGAAATCGAACCAAAATCAAGAGGATCGAGAGTAGATCCTGTAAACTGATATCATAATACAGATAGAAATTGAAGAAAACAAACTAAAACATATTGATTATTGACGAAAGATTGAAGATTACAGAGTGTATGTACGTTCTGACAGAACGAGAGAGAGATGAGAGACTGAGGTGGAAAAAAGTAAATTGAAGAATGATGTACATGAACCCTAAATACAATATTTATACTAAGGAAAAATAACTAAAGTTGCTGAACTAATGAAAAACGTGTTTTGCTAATTCAAATAGTAAAAACACTTTATTTTATACTCTAATATTATTCAATACTATTTAAACTAATTCATATTACTTTATTGCTCGTCCACTAGTAATCAAAATACAGTAAGTGTGACCAACAGGAGTTGACTCAAGTGGGTAGCAGTTTGATGCCGCTTAAGCAAGGTCTCAGGTGTGCGACCCGGGTCGACCAACAAATTAGTCGGGGCATAACTCCGAATATCGTGGCTGGCTAAAAAAAAAAAATAAATACAGTAAGTGGGAGTATGTTAAATAATACAGTAAGTGGGAGTATGTTAAATAAAACGTGAAAATGTACAAGGAATCAGGTTCTCATTTAGGAGACAAATGAAGAAAACCTCACACAGAAGCTTCCATTCCCAAATTGAATTTCAAATAATTTGAAAGTGAAAGGCAGAGATGGAAGTTTTATGATTGATGCCACATTTTGTATTTAAGTTTTGAGTAAAATGCAATTTTAGTCATGTGTGTTTTACTATCTTAATTTTTTCGTCTTTTTCGAATTGTGTTCTTTTATTTTTGTCCCCTATATTTGCAAAAAGTTTACAACAATGTCCTTTTCGCAACGGAAAGGTCCTTTGTGTTTTGGAAAAGAGGATTCCAATTTTGTTCCTTATGTATATAGAAGAACTTTTTGTAACATTTTTGCAAACATACGGGACGAAAATAAAAAAATTTACAGTTCGAGGAGGACGAAAAAATTAATGCAGTGAAATATACAAGACTGAAATTGCAATTTCCTCTTAAGTTTTATGTGTATTTAAGTTTTTGAGTATTATTACTATAATAATTTTTTAAATTAGAATACAAATCTTTGCTGAGGTACAAAATCACTCATAGGCTCAACATGATTGCCTTGAGCAGTGCCCATTTCCCTTTATAATTATTTATAAAGTCAGTAAGATTATTTTTTTGGGGGGGATTTATGGAGCCTTGAGCCATGAAATTTGTCCTTGCTAATAATAATTTTGATCAGTTATTATTTTTTTACCTAATATTTACATTAAAAATGTAGCAATTGAACAAGAATTAGATTCAAATTGCTTCGTAAGAGTGTGGACCAGTGAGCTGCATAGGCCACTTTAAAATATGGCTTAGAGGGCTCTCATTAATTTCTTAATAATTTTTGTTCATTTGTTTGTATGTTTAATTGTGAATTTTTTTTAATTTCTTGTTTTAATTGAATTTTTTCTTTGAATGTGGGGATATGGAGAAAACAAATGTTTGCTGAGCGATGCCAAAATGTTTTTTTTTTTTTTTTTTTTTCATGTGGAGCAGATGAAACTAAAGAAAACTATTCATAAGCCTTCTTTTTATGCAAGTTCTAGTTTTTTTTTATATTTTAATAGTACGTAGCTCGTGCGATGCACGAGACATAGATATTAAATAAGTTATTTTCACATACTTTGTCCATTTAAGTCTATAATCAAGATTTTTCTAATTTGCATTAAGGATTTTTAGTTCATTTCGCATACTTTGTAATGAAAATATAGTCTACAAGAATTTCATTATAGAAATAAATCAAAATAAAGAGAAAATGATAAAAAAAAAATAGTAATAATAATAATCATGATTGTCAATAATATAGAAATAAGTTCTAAAAGAACAATTACTATATTTCAGTTTTAATTTTTTATCATTAGTAAAACTTTTAATGTATCTAGTCATTACATCTTAAATGGTAAATTACACTAATTTGAGGAATATTTTATTTTTTATATTAGACGAAACAAAACTTAAGAAAAAATTATATTGGCAAATATTAATTAACCACCTTGATTTCGCCTGATTAATTGGAAGATAAAATTCTACGTAACCAATTACGATATTTTGTAAATATTTTTTGATAAAAAGTAAATATTTGTGAAAAAAAAAGAAGTTAATATTATGGTTAGAACTTAAAATATGTTGCAATATTATCTTGACCAAAATATTATCAACATGAATCACGGAAAATCAATTTTGTAATTTATTATAATAGATATCAATGAAATTATTGCAAATATTAATAAATTTTTTCAAGAAAACAATACTCTTGATAATATCTGATTTGATCTTATTTGAAAATGTGCATATGAAAGCAATTAATGCATATCATTAAAAAGTTTACAAAAAATGTATACATTAAATGCTCCCAAAATTTTTATTATTAGTGTTAGTAAATAGTTATTCTTATTTATAGATTTCAATTTTGAGAACAATAGGAGGGTGGCAAAACATAAAGGGCATCTGAATGTAGGTTAGCTTTAGTTTCAAGTCACTGAAAGCTGTTTGACCTGCTTTTTCACAATTTGTGCATATATATATTTAAGGATTTTCATGGTTAAAAAGATGAAGAAAGAAGGTTCCAAAAGGTTTTGTTAAACAAAAATAATGTTGTTGCTATCACTATTTATGATGCCAATTGCCATTGCTCATTAGTTTAAAGTGTTTTAGAGTTTAAATTGTACATCATTTATTATTGTTACTAGTACGTTACCCCGTGCGATGCACGGAATAGAAATATTAAATAAGTTATTTTCACAGTCTGATCCGTTTAAATCTAAAAAATAATATGGTTATTATCTATTTTCTATCTTTTTTAATCAATGTTAAGTCTAAATTTAACCAGCGTTCTTTTCTTAGTCAGAACATTAAATATGAGCATGTTAGGGCTAACTTGTAAAATAACTTACATATTATCTCACTAAAACATTTATACTAATAAAAATTTAATTTTAGCATATAAATTTATTCCTTGATATATAAAAAATAACAATTTTATTTATTCTTGTTCACCATATAATATTTAATTATTATTTTATTATATAATAAAAAGGAAGACTTTTAAATAGTGTAGTAGAATTGTTATAAAATTATATGAATTATTTTTTTTTAACAATATGTATTTTTATGATTTGATAATATAACTATAATATATTCTTAATGATATAATAATATGAGATATAGATCTACATAATACTATGGATTTATTTCTTAATGTTAAGATATTGAATTAGGTAATATATGGTTCACTAATTTATAATTTGTCTCTTTTTATATTGAAAATAATCATGTGATTGAGTAGAGATAACAATTATCTTTAAATTCCTTCATTTAATGAATAATTTTTAAATTGGTCAAAGTGTTGAATACAACTCGATTTTCTTGTAACTAAAATGAGAAGATATTTTGAATTTCAAATTTTCACTTCAAAACCACATGTAAATTTCGATGCAGATTTTGTGGGCATTTAATGCTACCCTATTTTATGATTTAAAAAAATCTAAAAGCTTTCTAAATATGGTGTGCAATTAATTATGTATTGATTTTTTTTCCTACTAATTCTAGTAAATGGGATGACATTTTATATAAGTATAGATTACATCATTAAAATATCACATGATCAGTGTTTGGTTTAGTTTTACAATTGATTAAGGTTTTTTGTATCATAAAATTAGTGGTGAAAGAGAAAGGGGTGTTTAGCTAAAGTCAGAAAGATCTGTCAGCTTGATGTTGAGGCAAATGTATATATAAAGATTACACATGACAACCTCTCACAATCAAAGTACATCACATCATATTTGATATAATGTGAGTCAATGTTTCAACTGATCATATTTTTTTCAATCATGAATCAACCTGATGTAAACTGCCTATATTGG